AGTGAAGTATGGTCAAATGACTCCCGTGACCGAGATGGCATGGAGAGGCCCTCATCCAAGAATGGATTGACAAAAGACTGAATAGTCACAAGTAGAGGAGGCCCGTAAAGGATCCTAATGGGCAGTTGGAGGCAGTCGCCCCCTCCAAAAACAACGGAGGGCAGAGGAGTAATGCTCACAATAACGAGCAGAGCGCCGGGCGGCTAAAACAGAGCATGTTTGCACAGTAGGGAGCACAGGTGGTGCATCTGCCAGTCATCTTAGTCAATCAACCCATAAACACCTGGGTTTGTCCTTTGACCTCCTGCAAGCGAGCCTTTGTGACTTCACATGGCCTGAAAGTTTCCTTAGCTTGGCATAAGCGCTGTGGTGATGTCACCGCCACTAAGTGACGTATGGCGGTATGTCGTCATGAATATTTGGGAGCACCTGGCGCTCGCTAACAACACTTTTCCCTGCAGCCTGTGTAGCTACATGGTAGCAGGGGGATCCTTGTCTTAGTTGCCATCGCACCCCGAGTGGAGTTGTAACGACCGGTCTCCCACGCCGCCGCCGCTGTGTGGCACCGCCGCGCCGTCCGCTCCTGGCGCTCCCGGCTGCCACCATTTCCGCGCGTCACTTATTTCAGCGCCGAGATTGGTTGTCCTCTGGCTATGGCCTTGCGTTTGACGAGATCGTGCAGGACCCCGTGCGAGAACAAAGTGGGGGCGTGGGGTGGGGGGCGGATTGCATCGCCGGGGTCGGCGCTAACACGGCACTGCTTGCGCGCCGCTGGGCGCGAGAGAGACGGAGCAGCGTTTTACGCTCGGCGTGTCGCTCACATCGACTCTTGCTTTCGCCCAACACGCGCGTCGAGCCGCGGCGCTTGGCAATGGATTGTTAACGGTGAAGGAAATTGACGAGCAAAATTGTGTTCCAGTGCTCCCTTGAGGTCAATGGGGCGGACGAACCTGCACATAAGAACGAGTAAAAAAAAAATCAACAATACAAATGAAGAACACGACGGCCAGTCAGGACGGCCAGTTTTATTATCCCACTACCTTGAGGATATTCGATTTATACTGAATTGTATCGACTTTAGTTATTAAATGCGTTGGTTGTGATTGTGTTTTTACACTTTCTTTCAATATTATTGTTACATTCGTAATCACAGCATAATTCAAATTCTCGCGTCTCGGCACTGATCGCTTCCCGCTTGCCACGGCCGTGCAGTGCTCCCCCACGGCAGACTCTCTCCCCTTAAACAAAAAAAAAAGTTTCACGCCCGTTTTTATCTAAACCATATGTGCCAGCGATTAGAATTTTCACGTACAACAACCAGGAGTCAGGAGCTTTCACGCGATAAGTTATATTTGTGGATAATAATGTGTGGGCGACAGAGATCGGGGTACAGACAAATAGGTTCCCCGAGCGAATATATAATTTGTCTCGCTGCGAGGGACAACTTGACGAGACAATTTCAACCGAGAAGATGGATTCTGGCTTAGCAATCATTGGAAGGATTTGATAAACCATTTCGGGTCTTAATTGATTGTTCACGCTTACAGTGGCTTTCAGGCCGCATCCATTATTTTCGTCTCCCCCCTCCTCTTTTCCGAACATAGATGGACTCGGCCATCTGAATACCTACGAAATCTCTCTCCGTTGTGCTAACGTTAAAAAAAACCGCCACTTTTTTCAAACTTTCTTGCTGTGGTTTTCACACCTGATGATGATTGCTTGTGTTTCAGTCGAAACGTCGTGAGAATTTTATTGTTTTATATTTTTATTATTTTATTGTTTCCCTTCTACGTGACTTTACCGAAAGAACCAAGACTATGATACAAGATAGTATTGATGTGATTCCTTGAATTGGATCGTGAGCCCGACTTGCTGCTCCGTGCCACTGCGTAGCTTTTTCGCGGTTTTGCTGCTGCAACAGCCCTCCGACGCGCCACCGCCTCTTACCCGCGCGCGCCGCGGAGTTGTTCGGCGCAACGTTTTCGCTGCCCGTGCTTCCGCCACGTGGAGCGAAACGTCGGACAACGCGCCGAACCAACGCCGCGGCGCGACCCAGAGAAACGCGTCGGGAGAGCTACGTGGGTCGTGCGTCATGCGCAGCCTTACTCCGGCTTGCTGAGCCTCAGCGGGCGCATGTGAATCAAGGCTTCGTTCATTTCTGCCGCTTTGCACGCGGCTCTGGGGAGCAATGGCTTTAACATCATCTTAGTTTAGCCGTTTGACCTTGGGCAGTACCGTAATTTGTACGAGCGGTTATTTGGTACACTTGTAACGACATGCCTTTGGCTATTAGAACAAAACGGGTTTTAATCGTTCCTACCTTTCCTTGTGCTGAATCGGTGTGTTCTTGTTCATTTGTTATAGGAAAAACCTGATATCAAAGAGAGGACCACAGCGAATTAATTATTTGTAGATTGCCTGTCCAACAGAAAAAGAAACCGGCATGGAGTCGGGATACAGACTAAAATGCAGCCGACAAAAGTCGTAAACGAAGAATCGCAGGGGACGTGGGAAGAAAGTGAGTTGCGATTGTTGTGATGGGAGAAGAGGTGGTGGTGGTGGTGGTGGCGGCGTGATTGTTCAGAGCTCTCCCGGCAGCAAATCCTGCAAGCCCTGGGGATTGTATTTAAAATATTTATTTACGTGAGACACGCAGCTGAGATGTCACATCGGGTTTTCTCAGTGGTCCCGGAGAGCTCTCAAAGGTCAATGTGGAAGTGGTGTCGTTTGCGGTGATTTAATAGGACAAGGACTGAATAATAAATCTCGCTCTTCGTGTTCGGCAACAGCGCAGGCGACGGAGCTGTTTGAAATTTTAATTATTTTGTGTTTGGAAAAAATGCACGGCAACATCGAGCCCACTGTATAAAGGTCAAAGGCTCGGGCTGCAAAGTTATCACAATTAACAACACGTTCATTTAAATGTTTTGTTGCCGCTGGGATTTTATTTTATCCGTAAACGCTTTCCGCTATTAGCGGCCGCTGCTCCGCTGCTTTTTTGCGTAGCGGCGCGATGAGCGGCCCGCGGAGCGGCAAGGGGGGCAGCGAGTTGAGGTCCGGCAGTCGCCCGGTGTCGCCTCCGCCTCCTCCGCCTCCTCCGCCTCTTCCTCCTCTCCCGCTCGCATGTCCCGTCGCCATGGTGACGGGGGCCAGGCGTGAAACGCGCGCGCTGGGCTGCGCTCACGCCCAAGGATCCTCCGCGTCCTTACAGACGCGGGGGGGAGAGCAGGGCCGAGCCAGAACAGGCAGGGAGAGGAGGAGGAGGAGAGAGGCAGAGCGAGAGAGAGAGAGAGTCGAGTGGGGAGCGTGAACGGGGGAGAGCGCGCAGTGAGAGCGCGACACATCACGTGACTTTATCACTATTCCAGAGCCAAAACCTCCTGCTCGCTCGCCGAAGCTGGCTTTTCCACGGGGGCTATCGCCATCGTCACCGACACTCCACATCCTCTCGGCCCAGCTGCGTTTATTCTCTCCCGCCGTTTAAACCTTTACATTTATTTTCCTCGATGCCGCTCCTTTGTGGCGCCCGTGCCGTCTAGCGAACGCTTTGCGTCCAAGTGGCGGACCACGCGGAGGAGCGATTTGCGTCATACCTGATCGAGCGCGGTGCGCTCTATGCCAAAACTGCTCCTCGCCTTTGTACCGAGGTCGCTGGAGCAGAGAGGTACCACGTCGCGTTTCTCGCTGCGCGCGTAACCGTTGGGAGCCTGTGAGTGGCGGCGGCGGCGGCGGCGGCGGCGGTGGTGCCGTGGATTTAGCAGTGAAGCGTGCTCGTCCCTTTTGATTCTGGCGCTGCCGTCACCGAGCCTGCCTGAGCGCAGTCGTGTTTGCGGCAGGGTCGCGTCGGGACGGAAATGATGGCAAAGGCTGAGCTCTCAGTAAGCTAATTGCCAATTAGCTCTTCATCATCATCGCTATTCATGGTTTTGTATGTACAGGCTCGAGCGCTGGGGGATTTCCTCATTAAAGCACAGTACGGTTGTGGGTTGTTTTTTTTTTTCCCTGTAAAATTTATGTCGGGGACCACGTGAGCTCCGCAACCAAAACTTAGTAGCAGCGCTCTGCACATTGCTCGCATTTGTCATGGCAGACGATCATCCTGCAGAGACTGGGTGCAGGGCGCGGGAAGGGTCGCAGTGCCATTTGTACGGGGCTGTTTTAGCTGCTGTGCTGTGCGGGTAGAGGATGACGCACGGTGCCCGCGATGCTTGAAGTGGCAGGGGCCACGGCAACTCTTTGCGTACAGCATCCCGTATGAAGTTCCTCTTAACCCTTCCCTCCGATTCCGTTCAGATGATGGACGTGCGCGTAGTCGTACGTTTTCGGAACAGAATTGCCAAAGGCAGTGCGGGAGGGCGTGTGGCACAGTTTGGCGGCAGCTGTAATAGAGTGCGGTCGCGTCGCTACGGTTCCCTGCGGTGAGTACAGTGTCTTCAAACACAGCGGCGCTGCTACGCCTCTCAATACAATTAACACTGACTGGTTGCGCGTTCTGGGATTCGGCGGCGAATGGGACCCCAACCCTGCAACTTGCAGATGTCTCGGAACGGGAAAGTGTGAAGGTGCTATTCGTAACTTCGCGGTCAACGGCACGACCGCAACCACGCTCGGCAGGCGAATAGCAGCCCACGCGTTCTCGTAATAGCGGCACACGTGACTGGCTTTCTCATTCAGTTCGGCAAAGTTTCTCGTTGGGCAGAACGCCAAGATGCAGTCGAGCAACTGGACGCGCGCCGTCTTGCAGCGGGGCGCGCGCTTGCGAGGTCGTTCCGTGATTGAATTAGCAAAGAGCTACGTGGCCCCTTGAGCCATTTGAAGAAACCTAAATTGAAGGGCAACCTTCAGGGTGGCGGAAGACTTGGGGGCGATTGGCTGAGGCGGCGACGAGGCCGCTGACGGTCGTTGAGGCCGCTTTTGGCCCTCGCTTTCCTTCGCGTGGCCGTGAACGGGCCGAGAGGTGCAAGCACGCGTCGCTCACGCCGCTCTGTGCAATCCCGCAGGCCGGCACGTCCGCTGCCAAACAACATGAACGACAGCACCCTGGTGTCGCCCTCCATGCTGTCCTCCGGGAGCCCCACGCCCACGAAGAGGTGAGCTTCGCGTTTCCCAATTCCCAGGCCCAGGAATTCTTTTTGTGCGAACGCTATCCCAGCCGTTTGGCACCCGCTTGCCACGGGCGATGGATCGCGCCTTGCTCGCGACGTTTCCGGCAGATCCGTTGGTGCGCGTTCGCTTGTGCTGTGGATTGTAGAGAGCCTTGGTGTTTTGTAGCTGTGGTGACCAGCAGCCTGATGGATTGCTGCAGTGGCCAGCCCTGACTTGACGACGTTGGTTTCAGAGGTGGACGGAGACATCACCGCCATCGCCTGTGAGGAGGTGTGATTGCAGGTGCAAAAGTCGGTGCCTCTGAACCCGCCAACAGCTTTGTCGGGTGGTCATAGTTGGTGGTGGTGGCAGCCCTGACAGTTGCATTCTCCGTACTTTTTTAAATTTCAGATGCCTCTGTGGACACGAAGAGCGTCGTCACGTCTGTCTCTGTGATGCGCGTGGCCCGTGTGTCTGGAGAAGGGCCTCCATGCGAGCGGTTGGCGTTGACCGAATGCGATGGCTTTGTCCCGCGGGGCAGCGATACGAGCGAATGGTACAGATGCGGTAGGCGATGCTGTTGCTGCCACTGCCAAACACTGATATTCTCCCTCGATTAGTTACACCGGTAGTGCGATTTGCTCGTGGTGTATGCCAATGGTGGCCAAACCCCATGGCATAAAAAGTCGCGCAGTTCATATTCGTGGAAGCAGGAGCGGCTCAGGGCACTCGCAACCTGGCGGCGGAGCCAGGCATGATTACTCCCGCACATTTTTTTTATTGAAAACTTCACAGCCAACCAGTGCCAGCGAACGAGCCGCGCGACCACCCCATGCGACCACCCCACGCGACCACCCCACGCGACCACCCCACACGACCACCCCACGCGACCACCCCACGCGACCACCCCACGCGACCACCCCACGCGACCACCCCACGCGACCACCCCACGCGACCACCCCACACGACCACCCCAGTTAATTTACGTGACCTGCGCAGTGTCTTGGAACCTTCAGCCACATTAAGATTTTTGCCATGTGGCTCGCAGGGTCAGGGAAATTTGGCTTCCCCTGCTGTACGCGGTACTCCCATAGTAAATTACGTTTTTTCTAAAACCTATCATTGGGAATAATCAATGATTATTGGCAGCAGCAGCTTCGTAGCACATGGGCGACGCTGTGAGGGGGCGATGCTTGCGAAAAACGGGATGCCGAGCTTCGCGATCGGCACCGCTCGGCAGCGGGAAAAAAACCCCGGCGACGGTCGAGAGCGGCCCGACGGCGCTGGGATTTCGGCGGCGTTCGTTTCCGTTCCGGCGGCTGCGCCGTCGATTCTCTCCGTGGCAGGGGGGGGCCTGGTGCTCCTGAGCGCCGAGACGACCGAGGCGACCTTCGATCGAGCGCGTAGCTCGAGGAGCTGGTCCTCGCCCAGTCGGAGGCGCATCTAACCGGGGCGGCTATCGTCAAAGATTGATGAACGAAGTGTGCGCCGCGAAAAGCCCCGCATTAATCAAACACAGCTACGGGGAAGCCCCGGCAATGTGAACACTGAGCGCATGCTCGTTCGAATCAATCACTGCCCTCTGTTGTGATTAATCCTCTACATCCCCCCCCCCCCCCGATCGCTCCTGATGTGAAAGCTTCCGGACACGCAAACGCTTCGGGGAAGCGCCTCGCGTTGCTCTACAGCGTGATGTGCAACCGAGGCGACGATACGATTTTCCCCACCGGCCATTTTCCCTCCGCTGCCGAGTGACGCCGACTTTAAAAAACGTTGACGGTATTTTTTGTTCCGTGGGAGCTGTCGCGACAAGAGGCTCGGGATACCGGCACGACCCACGTTATAAACGACCGCACGCTCGTCACCGCGCTCTCCGCTCGTGCGCGACCGTCGCAAATCACCATCAGCGCCGAATTTGGCAAATGTAAGCATGTGCTAATTATGGATGGAACGATTCATCACCCTTGGACCCGCTCCCCCCACCTCGCTGCCTTCCCCCCCAACCCCCACCGTGACGATTCAATGAATTGTCGCGATTCAAGAATCAATAGTTTGTTGAACGTTACAGTGAACGGCGGCACCTCTGGCGGCTGTAGAGGTCACGGAACCCATTACACCCACCGTAACCACATTGAAAGGCATTAGTTCACACGCACACACACACCCTTTGATGCATGTACGAGCGTAAGAATCAATATCAATCGATGAACTGATGCATCTTTGAAACCCGACTATCTATTCATAAATATAATAATGATCATTTACAGCCCCTTTGTCAATTCACTGCTGGACGATGGCCTCTCCATGCCGTTGTCAGTAATGGGAGATTCATTGGCCATACTTCACCACGCTGGTCAATACGGGTTGGTGATGGTGGAGAGCCCAGCACTGGGAATCAAACTTGGGCCATCGTCGTGCTCTGAACCACCATTACATTCTAACACGTACAGCCTGCGAATTATAAATTCACACGTTCAAAGTGCCGTGCGCATTATGTGAATCACGTGCACAGGCACTGTGTTGCATGTTCATTAACGATAATCGCTTCTGCATTGCACGTGGGCAGAATGATGAGAAATGAAATTCATGACAAAAGTAGTTCACGCAGCACAGCTTCTTAACAGCAGCGGTTGGGATGGAGCGATGTCATTAATTAATATAGATTCTGAAGCTCATGATGCACACATCGAATCCTGACCCGGTGTTCATTCTTATTACAAACACAGCAGCAGCTGCAGCGGTGCTCTCAGCCGCAATTATAATTACACCGTGCTTTGAAATAAATTCCGAAAGACACAACTGCAATATTCATTTATCCTCCCCCGTCCCCAGGTGTGACGGAATCGCACGTGCATGAATCGCCGTGTTTCCCCGCTTTAACACCAGAATTCGTGTGATCGGTTCCCGTCACACCCCTGCAGCAACGAGAGGCGCTACCAGTCGCGCGGTAAAAAAAAAAAAACTATCGGGTCAAATTTTGATTGAAAGCTTTCGTGACTGCAGGGATTCATATTCTTGGTTCTCTCGGTAAAGTCACGTAGAAGGGAAACAATAAAATAATGATAATAAAAACAATAATAAAAATATAAAACAATAAAATTCTCACGACGTTTCAACTGCAACACAAGCAATCATCATCAGGTGTGAAAACCACAGCAAGCAAATTTGTGGTTTTCACACCTGATGATGATTGCTTGTGTTGCAGTCGAAACGTCGTGAGAATTCTATTGTTTTATATTTTTATTATTTTCCCTTCTACGTGACTTTACCGAAAGAACCAAGAATATAACTATCGGATCATCGTGACCCTCAATCGGTGGGCACCTTCGATTAGCACGGTTGGCTATGCACGGTGCAAAACAAGTTCTACATACACACGTACATACAAATCATCGAATCGCCACGTGGCAGGCGGGGCGAGCCGTGAATCGTTCCGTCCATAATCGGCGCGTGCGCTTAACGCCCCCCGCCGAACTCGGGCGGTGCTGGTAATTTGCGATAGTCACGCGCGAGTGGACAGTGGTGGCGGGCGCGGTTGTTTATGATATTGGTTGCGGCGTTGTTCCAGCCTCTGCGCGTGGAGTGTGGCGGGGGTGGGTGGGGGGGGGGTCCCCGACTCATTCTGGTCACGACTTAAGCGACGCTCGCGTTCAGTGATGCCTGCAAATGCCTTGTCCCTTTTATTGGCCGACTCTCCCCTCCTCTCCAAGGTCAGACACGTGCAGGCGAGACCTTGGAACGGACGGCAAGGCTTTCCCGGAGCTCGCCCGGCTGCGTTGCAGAGATTCACAGCACCCCCCCCCCCCCCAACTTCATGTCTCTTTACCTTAATTTGCAGTTTGGACCCCGTACTGAAGACTTAATTGGTTTTCGTGTCGCGGTGTAATCAAGTGCAGGCAGTATTCCCGCAATGTTTACCTTCAGTAATTTAGAGCTGCTAATTTAGGTTATTGGTGCGCGTGTGTAAACACCACGTTATAGGTCATTTTCTTGGGTTCGGCATTTCGAGCCTCGTGTTTGGCGCACCAAAAATAAGCGCCGTCTAAAAAGAGAAGAACAACCTTTGCGTGCGCAATTTGTTCTGCACGCGCGCGCGCAAGTGTGCGCGAGCGCCTCGTACGTGCCGCAGTAGTGCCCTGGCTTAACAGCAAGGTGTGGGAGGGCTCAGGACTGTACAGACGTCGGGCTCCGGGAGGGGGTGCGGGGTTGGCTCTGGGTGATGTGGCAACAATGCGGCGAGTTGACACGGTGCGTGCCAGGTGGACGGTGCGGTGAGACGGATTGCCCTGTCATTGCTGTGCCCAGAGTGGCCGAGGTGGTGCTGGCTCAGAGAGCCAGCGAGCTAGAGCAAAGCAAGGTGCTGAGTAGGGAGACCCCTCGCATGCTCAAGGGCAAGGGGTGAGTAAGCGTGACCTCTGCTGCCGCTTGCCGCCGCCTCTCCCCACCCGCCCAGCAGGGAGGTCGCTGCAGGATTTGCACGCAAGCGGTTCCCGCCGTTTTTGGGATTGCTCTTTATTTTATGGTTAACACACCTGCGGTATTAATGCACCTGCTGTCTTGAATGCGCCTGTGGTATTAACCAGGGCGGCCGCTTTGGGTCTTAAACCGCGAGCCTCCGCAACGAGCGGTGAACGCGTGCCACCGCTCGGCCGAGTCGCCGCCCCAAATCGACGACCCAACGCATCGATCCAACCCTGCACTCCACGCCCCCACCCAGGAGTCGTTACTTCTTCATTAATCATCCTCCTCCATTCGATAACGGAGGGGTTCCCGCAGAGCTCGGTGGGGTTAGTTGGGCCGAGGACTCGTCCGTCGCGAGGCTGCAGGGGACCGATGCCAAACACACCTTCCTGTATTGGAGGTCGCCCCTCGAGTGTGCGCACCTGGCTGCGACTTGACGTGTTCGCGCTTGGCTCTGCACCTGTGGCTGCTGCGGCGTGCTTCCCTTGGGGGCGCTCTGTCCACCCACTTGGCTTCACCGCACGGACACCGCCGTGCCCCACGTGACTGCGTCGAGCAGCGGAGACTCGCTGGGCGTGTTGGCTGCGACTAAACCCAGCTCCGCTGGTGGTCGTCGCCGGTCATGTTCAGCTAAACCGCATCGCCCCCAGATAAACCGTGTCACTCGCAACTAAACCGCGTCACCCGCGGCTAAACCGCGTCACCCGCAACTAAACCACGTCACCCGCAACTAAACCACGTCACCCGCAACTAAACCGCATCACCCGTAACTAAACCGCGTCATCCGCTGCTAAACCGCGTCACCCGCAGCTAAACAGCGTCACCCGCTGCTAAACCGCATCACCCGCGGCTAAACCGCGTCACCCGCAGCTAAACAGCGTCGCCCGCGGCTAAACCGCGTCACCCGCGGCTAAACCGCGTCACCCATGGATAAACCGCGTCACCCGCAGCTAAACCGCGTCACCCGCAGCTAAACCGCGTCACCGGCAGATGAACCGCGTCACCCGCAGCTAAACCACATCACCCGCAGATAAACCGCGTCACTGCGACTCACTAGACACTACCAGTTTTACACCGCTACCCCGTGACTAAGCCACTGTGATGCAGGCCGTGCGTTACGGCTGCAGTCTGCGGCGCCGTCTGGCTGCCTGAGCTTTGGTGACCGCTCCGGCCTGTGTTCGCCCCCCCACCTTCCCCGGGCCCACTTCCGAGTGTGCTTGCGTGTATGTGCGCGTGTGCGTGCATGGGTCTGTGCTGCTCACTCTGCTTCTTCGCTTCCTTCTCACTTTGCATGCACGCGATAAAAATTTGGACTTATAATTTTTTTTCTACACGTTCCCCTCCCCGCACCGAACTTAATCTTTTTTTTTTGCACAAATTAGAACGTTTCTCTTTTGTTTGTCATTTTTGTGCGTTTCATTTGTTGTTCTGTGCGTTCACGAGCACGTGCGCGCGTGTGCGTGCGTCTTTGTGTTTTCATTTTTCTTTGCCCCCCCCCCTCCCCCCCCTGTCTGTCAGAATACAGTACAGTTTGGACATGGCCAATCGAATGGCTGACGAGCATGTGCTAATTGCCCTGTACGTTGATCGTCTGCTGCACGGCGACCGGTACGCAGGGCGCCCCGCGTGCGTCCCATCGCGGCTTCGATCGCCATCACCGCTATGATCGCCATCACTACCCACGATCGCCATCACCGCCACCACCACCACGATCGCCATCACCGCCCACGATCGCCATCATTGCCCGCGATCGCCATCCCCGCCACAATTGCGATCGCTACCAACGCTACGATCGCCATCCGGCAGCGTCCCCATCATTCGCAAGAGAGAAAATGCGGGACGCAGTGGTCATCGATCGTCATCGACAACATGCCTGCAAAAATAAAAAAATAAACAGAAGCGAGGCCAGTAATTACATCGGACAGTAATTCAGGTTACTTAAATGGAATAACAGCAGTTAGCATTAAAGGTGTCATTCCCAGCTGCGCTACGATATGTGCACATTTAATTTTCAATATCGCCGCTCGTCCGGCAGATCACGAAGGTGCCGTAACGAGCTTGGCCTCATTGATGTCCCTTGTCGAGTCCCTCCCGCGCTTTGTGCCACCCTCTACTCTGCGCAACCCAATCGTATCCCACCTGCCAAACCCGCGCGCTCTCCCTTTGGTTTGCTTCCCGTGATTCGCGTCTCCTCTGTGCGTGAAATCAAAACGACTTTTCTTGATTCCGTCTGCCGCTACCGCCGCCGCCGCTGCTGCGTCCCTACTCGTATGAATGCGCTGCCCTCCCATACACGCTGCCCTCTCATTTGGGCAGCCCCTTCACACACGAGCTGCCCCTTCCCCCCCCCCCCATCGACCCACAGTAGCTCGTCATTGGGAGCCGCTGCGGCCAGGCCCCCACGGGTAAATACTTGCCTGCTCATTATAAAGATTATAAACTGCATATACCCCCCGTCCCACCCACCATAACTCCCTCTCCAACTGCCCACTGCCCCCCACCCATTTCCCCCCACCCTCGCGGACGTCCCTGCTCCCACCAATATATTTACCACTGCCATCGGCACAGGCACTGGGCTTCACTCTGCCTCCTTAATCAGCGATCGTCAAAATGCCGAGCCGTGGTGAAAGAAATACGCTTCTAACAGGTCTCGGGCTCGTCTTCAATATCTTAGAGCCCATGGCTGTAGGCGGTCATGGACCTGCCCTGGAGGGTTGTGTATAGCCCCTAGCCCACCAGCATCAAGGAAAACCTACACGACGTCCTTGGCCAGAGATATTCTTTCACGCTTCAAAGTAGACGTCCGTAAACCTGGTACTTTTTACATCGCAGTGCCGCGGGATGGAAACGACCTGTTCGTCAGGACGTGTGGTGCACGCCGTGTGGCGCCGTATTCTCTGAATGAAAAAGACGCTCCGGTAAATAAGACGCACTCCAAAGTTTGTGCCGGTGCCGATGAAGTCGTTCATTCCGGTGTCGCGCACATGAGCCCAACGAACTACGGATTATGGCAGGATGGCAGTGGTAGTGGTAACGCGCGCATGCCTCGCAGCAAGTAGGTGCCTGGGTTCGATTCCCGACGTGGGTGGCTCTCTGCATGGAGCTTGTGTGTTCTCCCCCTGTTTTACGTTTGATTTCATCCGAGTCCTTCAGTTTCTTCCCAGAGCTAAAACGTACAATGTCACCGGTACTGGGCAAAACATAACCAATGCTGAATAATTACCGGCACTTCCAATTAGCAGGGTTGGCTACCTACGTACGGTGCAAAAGAAGTTCAACATACATCCATGCAAATGACTCGAGTGAGATTACACACCAGCAGCAACATCACCTCCTTGTCCGACAAGTTGGCACAGGACCCTCCTAAAAAGAGTTTTGAGACTCGGTGAGGCTCTTCCTGGACAATGAAGGGCATTCCAACAAGACCACACTCCCCGCGTCTCGCTTTAAAACGCAGTGCAACAAAAGTGCGTCCTATAATCTGGAGAATACGGCAGCGCACGGTCTACCCAGGGGGCTTGTTATGTGGACAGGCAAGGGTACGCAGCTCGGCATCTCTCCTTCACTGGCGGTTTACACATTTGCACGGATGATTCGCATGTCAGGGTGACTCACGCGTCCCCACGGAGCTGGCTGGATCGTCAGGCTGTCTGAGCTGCCGCGATGAAGGGAACCGGCATTTGGCCTGGCAGTCGTGTACCCTGCACGCCGCGTGAACATCCACACCCCATATTTTTTGGTTTTGTTCATCCGCTGTTGGATGAGAGTCTGCCCCCGTGCCGTGCGGGTCGTTGGGGGCTTATGTGTGTTACCCTTCTTCGCCACACGCTGGTCAGTGCGAGTTGGTGAAGGGACACGAGTCAAAGATGTCCAGCGGAGGAGCGCAGGACAGTGGCGGATGTTGCTGCACTGCCCATGACACAATCCTGCCCAGCTTATTTTGTGCATGGCAGTCGCCCATCCAAGCAATAATCGAGCTCGATTCCGCTCGGCTTCCGAGATCTGACAAGATGGGATGCATTCCGACTGAATTGGTCAGAGACATCGTGGTCCACGTGCGAGCTCCAACCAATCAGTCCTTCTTGGGGACACCGCGTTGGCGAGGAGGGTGTCATCTACCTTGCCTGGATTTTAGGAGGTCATGGTTCGATCCCGACCCTGCCGATGCCCGTGTATGTGGACTTCGTATGCCCTCGTTGTGGATTTTTCTCGGGGTTCCTCCGGTTTTACCATCCACGTTTTAGAGACCTACGTTTAGAATATTTGGTCCCCACGTACGTCCAGTCGCGTGTGTCCAGGTAGCCTATGAAAATAAGCTAAGGGATCAGAAGGCTTTGCCTGGTAGATAAATTAGTTTTGTTCCGTGTATATGCCCGTGCCCCCTGAATGCAATTAGTGGTAACCCCCTCGTTAGGGTTCTAGGACGGCAGGTTGCGTGGACAGTCGTTGAGTTGTCAGAGCGCGGCTGTCGATCGGTCACGGCGTTGCACAAAGAGCCCTGCGTGCAATCGACAGCGCGAGCATTCAGACCGCTCCCCCCCCCCGCTCCCCATTTAAGTACCTGGCATCGTTTTAAATGCCGCTGTGTGGTGCAGCGCGAAGAGCGGCGTCGTCGTCGTCGTCGTTAATCTGGCGCGCCGGACGTGTGGCCGCCAACGAGCGGGGCTTGTCCACTACCAGACTTCCCTGCCGAGCGGTGCCACTAGCTGCCACAAACATCCGATATGTTGCTGTTCAACTTTGGGTTGCGGACGGTGCCAGCGGTATCAGGAGCGCGCTTTGTGTGTGCGAGCGTGTGCGTGCGTGTGTGTGCACGTGTGTGCGCGTGTGTGCGTGTGTGTGGAGCGGTGGCGCAATGGTTAGCACGGGGCCCTACGAACCCAGCAAACCCGAGTTCGTTTCCCGCTCACGGCCAACACCAGGGACGATCATCCGAACCGGTCCTGGGCCTCCCCTAGGTCGACTCGACCTCTATTGAGTACCTGGTGCGGTGTGTAAAACATTGCCACTGGGGAGACAAAGGCGGCCGGGCGTGGGGTTGGCCACCCACCCCCCCAGTGTACCCCGCCGGCCTTTGTAGGTGCTCGCTAACAACACTTGCTCCTAAAGTCTGTTAAGGCTACACGGGGATCTTTGTTTTGTACCAGCTGTGCCGCGTGTGTGTGTGAGCGTGATTATGATCGTGCGTGTGTTTGTGTGAAGCTCAAACAGCGGGCTCGACAGCCCCGGCCGTCTGGATGAGGAACACCGTCTCATCGCTCGCTATGCTGCCAGACTCGCTGCCGAGGCCAGTACCACGGTGCACACTGTACACGTACGGCAAACTGCACACCGCACGCACCACGAATCATTAACCACACCATACATACACACCGCAGAGGGGCACCCTCCGCGGTATACTGCACACCACACGCACCGCACCGGGGAACGTGCTTACACCTTCACCACGCGTCATACACCTCGCAGCACTTGCCACGTATACATCTGAACTGGTCCTGGGGCCGGTGTGTAAACATCGGAATCGGCGGGAGAAAGAGGTGGTCACGTGTGTCGTACTGGCACTCCACACCCTCGTGTGCCCTACAGGCCTAAATAGGTGCTCACTAACAACACTTGTCCCAAAGGCTATATCGGGTGTGGGAGGGATCTTTGCCTTTGTTTTGCGTGCACGTGCCGGCACTTTTGCAGGTCGTGGCGTGTGCGTGATATTTTGAAATCGCATCTCTTTACTTCGTGGGTAACTCTCCAGTTTTGTGCGACTGAGCCGTCACCTTAACCAGCTAATGCCCTCCGGGCCGGTCGAATCGCAATATGATTTGCTCGTTGCGTCTTCGTAAAATAACCGTCGGACGAGATGCATCGTCTCGCTTGCTGTGCGATGGTGGGGCACGCGAGCCATTACGGGAAGCCATCAGCGTCGACTGCTTGCCCTCTGAGCTGCGATCGAGAAAGAAAGAGATATATATACGTGTGAAGCATTTCCTGTTTGAATTCTCCGCACGTTCCGACACTGAAATTGTTTCCCTTGTTGAAGGTGAGTTTCCATCGGATTGTCCAACAAGCGCTGGGAGCATAGAATCCGTTTTTTATATATATATAGCCAGGTTCAGTTCATTGATTTGGTTGCTCTTGGCTATAAAAAAAACCAAAATCCTCTCAAAATCCCATGACTGGAGATCAACAAAATCCCTGAAACGACAAGAAAAAGCTCATCGGCGGTCATTACAACAGAGCTTTCGTCTCTTTAGATTATTTGATGGTACATCTTTTGTTGCGTGCGTGTGCGGGCGCGCGCGCGTGTAATTTCTCCACGTCGTCACCTTCGTCACCTCGGACGAGGTGATGAAAGTAAGCGTCCCGGATCTCTCCCAGGGCGGTGCCGAGCGTTCGTGTCCCAGACCGGAAGCGGACGCCACGGAGCTATCTCTTGAGATCACTGCAGGCGGCCTCGGTGGACGGCACTTTCCCACCTGATGTTGCGCACGAGAGTCACGTTCGTCGTCGCATTGCGGTCAAAACAATATTTCGATTTTAGCCAAATTAAGCGCAGAACCGTTTCGTGGTGATTCGTCGCCGTAGGTATTGGTCACCGAACTGAGACCATGAACTCGACCGATGGTACATTCTAGTTATTTGCCTAACTAATTCGCCTGGTATTCAGGAGGGTCGTGGGTTCGATCCTGACCCTGGCGCCTATACATTTGGAGTTTTCATGTTCTCTCCCGTCGTGGTCACATGGAATTTTTTTTCCACGTCCTCCTGGTTTTTCCCTCCACATTTAGAAACAACGCGCCTTTAGAGTATTCGGCTGCTTTAAATTGACACGTGATAAGCCACTTCCTTGTGACAAATTCTGTAGGCCGGTGTGTCATGCTGTCAAGTATCACTCCGTGCTCAGTGTGTCGTATTAGTTGGTGTGACATTAGTGTTTGAATTTTCCGGTGTTTAAATTGTGTTGATGGTGTGACCATTATCTGAACCGGTGCTGGCCGCCCACTCCCTTGTGTGCCGTGCCGGCCTTCATAGGTGCTCGCGAACAGCACTTGCCCTATTAAGGCTATACGGGGGATTGTTGTATTTGTTGCACTGTAGAGTGTATGTCCGTATGTTGAACTTCTTTTGCACCATACGTAGCCAACCGTGATAATCGAAGATGCGGCACACTCAATGTCACATTGTTCACTGTGACATTCCATAAAGTGTGTGTGCGTGTCACATTGTTTAGTATCCCTCTATGATCGTGTCAAGTTATCAAAGGTCACATTCTCAGCCGAGAGTGTGATTGTATTATTCAGTGTAACGTTGCGTTGAGACGGTGTCACGTTGCTGAGGTTTACACTATGATGGGCATGCCGTATTAGTTTCAGGTTCCCATCTCAAGTTGATTTTTATTGACCTGGTGATAATTCGCAAGAGACCCTGATAAGTCTGATTTGCAAGAGTGACTTGGGTCACCAACATGACAAAGGCGAAACAAGCAACGGTGATGAAGCACAATAGGATTGTTCAGTGCAGCGTTGTGTGTGTGTGTGTCGCGTCAATGCGCTCTGTGCCGTTGCCTTAATAGTGAAAGGATTGGAGCCATCACCGGCTCACTGAATGTTGTCCGCTTGCACCTCTTACATTGTGAATGGTGCAGCAGCCTTAACATTTCGTTAAAAAAAAAAAACGAATGGTCATTATTGTTACGGACAATGAGATGTCTCACTATGAAATCAGATACAATTGTGTAGAGGAGGCAGTAGTAGCCTTCTAAATGTGCTTGTGTGTCTGCTTGTGTGCACTTGAATGTCTGTGCACGTGTCCCGTGTCTTTTTTTTTCCTTGTGCACGTGTCTGCCTGTGTGCATGTGCGTGTCTGCGTGCCTGAGGCGTACGCGCGATGTCCGTGTGTGTTGTGCGTGCACACATCTCCTTGGTGTCCGCGTATGTTGCGTGCCCGTTCATGTGCATGCGTGTCTCTTTTCTGTGTGCGTGTGTGCGTGCGTCGTGATGTACGACTGTCGTGTTGTGTTTGTAGCAGCGAACGCCCACCGAGTTGGCGTTCAACTCCGACACAAACAAGCAGCAGCGGCAGCTCATCGCCGAGCTGGAAAATAAAAACCGGTAACGGCCGCATCGTCTGCCTCGTTTTACTTCCCCTCTTGGTTCCATTCTCCCCTTCTGATCTCTTGCTCCCAGAGCGTCCGTGTGTAGCATCTGTCTACGTGTTTCCGGTTGTCACCAAATTCTGTTTTGCGTTTATCTCGCGGTTCCATTGGTCTGTGGCTCCACTTCGTGATTGTCTCGTGCCATCGCGTCACTGTGCTACAGTGAGATAATGCAAGAGATCCAGCGGTTGAGGCTGGAGCATGAGCAGGCATCGCAGACGTCCCCCGAGAAGGACCAGCAGAACCCCACGCTGCTCGCTGAGCTCAAGCTGTTACGGTACGGACCCCTGCCACTCGCAGGCCTCCCCCACGGCCCACGTCACGACCTCTCCCACTCACAGGCCTCCCCCACGGCTCGTAACACGGCAGCTCCCACACCTATCCAAAGCTTACGTGAGTACTTGGCGTGGTGTGTAAACGTCACCACTGGGGAGACGCACTGGCGGCCGGGCGTATGGCTGTCCGCACCATCCCCTTCCACGTGCCGCGCCGACCTTCGTAGAGTGCCTCCTTACAGCACGTCCCCCAAGAGGCCATTCAAGGCTATACATATTCTGTCTGCCTCTTCGCCATTTCTAGCGGTTAGACAAAATAACCGTGAGCCCGTTTGCTTGCCGTATGTGTTTTGCGCGCGTGCGTTGCAGGCAGCGCAAGGACGAGCTGGAGCAGCGCATGTCGGCGCTGCAGGAGAGTCGACGCGAGCTCATGGTGCAGCTGGAGGGGCTCATGAAGCTGCTCAAGGTGACCCTCGTCTGCCGCCGGCGCTGTTGCCCGTTCCGTCGCGTTATTTGCGGCTCTTGAGACGTAATTACAGAGCTGCGGCAAGCCGTGAAGAATTTACTAAAAAAAAAAACTTGGAGTGGATGGGGCGGGGCAGTGGGGGAGGGGAATTGGGCGGGGGGGGGTGGGGAAGAAAACGCAAAGACGGAAATAAATCACATGCCGGGTTCCCAGGTCACGTCCGAGCCGTGCGGCATTAGTTAGATTCACAATTTGATGGTGTGACGGTCGCTTTTACAAATTTGATGATTGTCATAATTATGATTATAGACGTGTCCCGCTGCCTACTGCAACGTGACGCCCCCATCTCTCCCCGCACCCACCCCCCTCGCCCCATTGCCTCTGCCCCAGCGCTAGCGCCGTGTCTAGATTATCGACGATCTGGGAGCCGACTCTAGATTGGTAAGAAACTGGGCGCTGGGCTATCCAGTTATTCTGCTGATCATCGGGTCGATTTCTCGACGCATTGCATTTTTTGGGAAAAAAAAAGTGTCACCTTTATTCCCAGCCGTACTACTCGACGCCATTGGCTTCATCATGTGCGGCACCCTGGGCTGGGGTTTGTGGGGGTTTCCCACCTTCGGGAGGCAGGAAGTGGGGGGGGGGGGGCACCAATTTTAAAGGGGCCTGAGTAATTGACCGCAAAAAAATTGTCGATTATAATTTTTGGTCAATTAACGAGCTTTATCGGTTAATTGTCCCAGCTCTAGTGCTGACTCTAGATGACGAGGATGCGGGGGCAATGATGAGCATGATGAGGAGCTGTAGGTCACATGGGCCCGAGAGGCTGCTTCAGTGCGGTCGACAGAGTCGCCCCAATTGGCTCTGCTGGTGCTCCAGCCGGGGCTGCCACCACCGCTCGACTCGTGCTGCGATTGAGTTCAATTATTTCCAGCGACTAAGAGTGCCATGTGGTCCCAGAATTTTCCTCCTTCCTCTCCCCTTCCTTCTGGCTCTCCTCCTTCCGACGCCTTCCCTTCTTCTTCCTCCTCATCCTTGCTCTTCCTCCTCCCTCTCCTGTCCTCCCTCTGCCCTCTCTCTTCATACTCCTTGGCTAATTCTTCTGTGATGCTCTGTGTTCTGCCTCCTGTTGTAGGAAGAGGAACAGAAACAGGCAGTAAGTGTCTCCTCCTTCAGCTGCACTCCTGTTGCTCCTGCTGCTGTTGCTTTGCGTGGGTGCCTCCATGCCACTTGCTCTTCACAGGCTGTTGAGATTACGCACACGTAATTCTGCAAGGTTTCAATGATCGTGTTTGATCCCAAAGAAACAACAAAAAAACCGACCTCCCGTTTCTATCTACGCTAGGAAAAAAATACGTTTTGAGTTTTGGCCTGCAATAATAAGTTAAGCAGCATCATTTATTAAAGTAAAACAAACTCTGAACTCCTTTCGACCTTGACGGTGTTGTGAAAGCATTCAGCCTAAACTATGTACCAGTTAAATCCGGTACAGAGTTCGGTTAAACGAATGTTGTTGGTTAGTGCCAGGTTTAGACGAATCACGATACGATATATATTAACGATGTTGTCAACACATATATTTTATTGGAATGCAGAACAGAAGGTCGACTTAATGTTTGATAACCCAGAATGTGGAATGAGTTTGAAACAAAATATACTTAGTGGGAGTGTTCTTGGTGTTTTTGACCCTGAACTTTTGCATGAATGACCCTGGGCAACTCTTCTCTTTTTAGCACAAGGAGACCCAGTACAGTCAATTATTGTCATCATCATCTCCATTCCTTGATATCGCACCTTCACATCGGGTAAATTCAAGTCCCCAAGCAGTGAGTTGGAATTTGGTGCTGCCCTTGAGCCGAATTCTCTCTGCCCCGTTCGCAACCCCCGACTCGTAAAGAAGTGATTATCTAGCAGAGACGTGTGCCGCTCCTGTGTTGTGTAACAAAACAAATAGAAAGGTGCAGCCCTGCAATTGCTTGCTCACGCCACTGCTGGCGAAAGGGCTCCAGAGCTCAAGAGAGCCAGTGCAAAGAGAGGTGTTCCGGCCAGCCACACTGTCCAGTCGTCTTGCAAGAGGTTGGAGTTACCCACACTTTACCCCACCGCTCGTGACCTGCCAATCATAGACTAACTGCGTGGCATTCCCATTTATTCTGCTGGGTGGACATAGGCGGTGGCGGTGGGTGGAAGTGGTGTAGGGCGGGGGGGGTTGGTGATTTAATAAACTTTGCCCCGTTGTTTCAACCGCCGCGCTGGGAGATCGATCTGGAACTGGCGACCTCTGCATTGCCAGTCCAGTGGGCTGCTGCTGCTGCTAGCTGTTACAGCACTGTGGCAGCAGCCCTGCTAGGTAAATCATTATCTGGTGTGCTAACCCGTGGCAAACGCCTCAACGTGCAGGAAAATAAATTGCATGGTTTGCCGGGGAGACTGCTGCCGCTGCTGTTGCTGCCGCCGCCGCCGCCGCTGCTGCTGCTACGATGAAGGCCGCTTAGAGTTCACCCGTACGCGGCGTGCCGTGGCGACATGAGAAAATGCCGTGTGCAGCGACGCGCTTCGCCGAAGAACGCGCCGCGCGGCGCAGTGGCGAGAGCGGGGAGAAAAAAACACGCCGCAAGCGAGGACCACGGCAGACTTCATTTGTCTTCCGTCCTAGATCTGTGAAGCCTCTCGTCGCTTATAAACCTCTCGGGAAGGCACACTCTCACGTGTGTGCGTCTGCGGCTAAAAACGCAGCGAGTTGGCCCAGTAGGGAGCACACGTGGCGCATCTGCCGGCCATCTCAGGCAGTCAACCCGCGGCACCTGGGTCTGTCGCATCACTCTTTGACACTTCACGTGGCCTCAAAGTGGAACCTAGCCTGGCGCAAGCGCTGTGGTGACGTCACCACCACTTAGTGGCGAATGGTGGCTGTTGTTGTTGCTGCTGCTATGGGGAGCGGTGGTGCAGTGGTGAGTGCACTGCCCTATGAACCGGCCAAACTGTGTTCGATTCCAGCTCACGGTTAAGACTGGTGACAAATATCTCAACTGGTTCGGGGATTCTCCTAAATCGGCTCAGCCTTTATATAAGTACCTGGTGCGGTGTGTAAAAATCATCGCTGTTGGCCAATCGCCCTCACGTGCGCCGTGCCATTAGCAGGTTGCTTCCGTAACAGCACCTGCCGGAACAGTGTGCGTAGCCTATACAGGGGATATTTGCCTTTGTTCCTTGACCTTGAAAGTGACCAAGCTTGGCAAATGCATGGACTGCGTTTTGTATGTGAATGCAAAACATGCTTCGGGGACATCGCCTTTGTGAACAACTCGTGCAAATGTGCACGGGCGTGAAGTGTTTGTACAAAGAGCGGCGATGTCACAGTGGCCTCGTTGTGAACGACGCCGCGTGGCAGCTCTCCCAGAATGTGGCGACGCTGCCGTGTGTTGCGCGTGCGAGCGCGTGTGCATGGGCGTGCGTGTTTATATGTGGGGGAGCGGTAGTGTGGTGGTAAGCGCATTGCGCTACGAACCCGTTGAGCAGAGTTCGATTCCCGCTCACGGCCAACACCGGTGACGATTATCTGAACCGGTCCTGGGCCTCCCCTAGATCGACTCACCGTTAAATGAGTTCCTGGTGCAGTGTGCAAACAACATGCGCACTGGGGAGCCAAAGGTGGCCGGGCGTGGTACTGTTCATACCCACTCCCTCGTGTGCCGTGTTGGCCTTCATAGGTGCTGCTCGCTAACAGCACTTGCCCCAAGAGTCTGTTGAGGCTATACGGGGGATCTTTGTTTACGATGCGTGCTATGTGGGCGAGTATGGTGTGCTTTGTTTGATGTGCAATGAGCTGCCATGTGCCATGGCCTTCATAGGTGGCCGCTAACGGCACACAGCCCATTATCCAGTTTAAGGCTGCACTGGGGATTTTTGTCTTTGTTGTCTCGTGTGCTTTGTTACCCGTGTGTTGTGTCGCGTACCCTTGTGCCAAATGTTACGTACCATGTGATGCCTGTTGCGTGCTGTGTATCCTACTACTGCTACTCCCTGCCCACCCCGCTCAGCTATGACCAGGCCTACCCCAACCCCTGTCACTACCCTCTACCCCTCCTTAACCACTCGCATTTGTTCTCCTAACCCGTCAGCATGATGACACCACTTTTAATAACCCTCCCCCCCCCCTACTCTTTGTCTCAACCACGATCATCTTCTGTACAATTTTAGTTTTTTTATAATCTTTCTAAAGCGCCTTTGGAGTTAAGTCGCGATGTAAATCTTCGTAAGTTGAGATTGAGCGGCCGCTCGCCCGCCGCTCTGCCCTGTACTGCTCGCGCGCGCGTCCGCCGTTCACCGTGTCCGCCGTTCACCGCGACCGCCGTTCACCGTGTCCGCCGTTCACCGCGTCCGCCGGTCACTCGTGTCCGCCGTTCACCGTGTCCGCCGTTCACCGTGTCCGCCGTTCACCGTGTCCGCCGTTCACCGTGTCCGCCGTTCACCGCGACCGCCGTTCACCGCGACCGCCGTTGACTCCCCCGCAGACGCAGAGCTCCCCGCGGTCGTCTCCGAGCCACACGATGGCGCGACCGATGCCCATGCCGATCCGGTCGACGTCGGCCGGCTCCACGCCGACGCACACGCCGCAGGACTCGCTGACCGGCGTCGGCGGTGATGTGCAGGAGGCCTTCGCGCAAGGTGATGACGATCGCACGGCCCGGGTTGGTGGTGGGGTAGGCGCTACCCGGCCAACGCCGTGGGGGCCAGTGGCCTCCACTCTGCCCCCTTGTCCCCGTGTTCAACGTAAACTAAACCTGAACAATTTTTTTTTTACTTTTACCAAGTAAGGCCCTGCGGAGCTGCTATGAAGCCTTTTCACAAGCGACCTGGCTATCGCGTATCACAGCTCAACGAAGTGGCTTATCATCACGTAGAAATTATAGCAACCAAATACTCTCACACATTGTTTCTAAATGCGGAGAAAAATCCATACGACCAGCACCGGGAAAATATATGCCAACTCCGAATGTACAGGCGTCAGGGTTGGCATCGAACTCACAACCTCCTGCATACCAGGCGAGGTAGTTCACATCCCGCCAGCGTGGGGCCCCCCACGTAGCGGCGTTGCGCCTCTGTCTGTGCCAATGGAAGGAATTCGGACTGAAGCAGCAGGATAATAAGTGGTACGGGATTCCATGTGCGTGCGTGCGTGTGTCTGCGCACGAACGCACCCGCGTGTGTGAGGGTGGAGTGGTGGCGCGGTGGTTGGCTCACTTTGCCGACGGGCACAATGGCCTTAGTTGGATTTTCGGCCACGGTCAACGTCGTTGGCGATTATATAAACTGGTCCTGGGCCTTGCCGAGGTTTGAAACGGCCATAAATATGTACGTTGTATGGAGACAAAGGCGATGAGCCATGTTGCTCACCACACCGCCCCATTGTGGGCTGTAAGGTGCTTGATAACAGCACTTGCCCCAAATGTCCGTTAAGGCTGTAAGGGGGATTTTTGTCCTTTATACGTGTACACCTAGCCTGGCACAAAGTGCCGTGGTGACGTCTCTCCGCCCCACAGTGGCGAACGGCGGTTGTTGTCGTTGTGCGCGTGTCGTGCCCAGGCGCCCGCAGGAATCTTCGTAACGACCTGCTCGTCGCGGCCGACTCGATCACCAACACCATGTCGTCGCTGGTGCGGGAGCTCAACTCAGGTGGGCGAGGGCGGCGGCCGGCGTGGCAGGGGTTACGCGGGTCCTTCGGTCCCCGCGCACTGGAGGGGGCGTGCGGCCCCCGTGGTCTTCGTTGGCCCTCGGTGTTCCGTTAAGAGTGCTCCCGAGATGGCCCGGCATACAGGACGCTCAAAAAAACTAATGATTCTGGTTATGTCACGGAACCTTTTTGCGAGTATCAAAGTCTTAAAATGAAGGTGTTAAGATGTTCAAACACCAATTGGATACCTTTTGCGAGGAATCAAGTCTGCATTAAGGCACACACAGAGTACTTGTGGTGAACATGCAAACAAACACGGCCCTGATAAGAGATGGGCATTGTCTTGGAAACTGATTGGCCTGTACCAGAGACAGCAGCCTTGGTTATGGCCTAGTCTCACCACCAGTGTCAGACCAGAGAACGCCAAAAGGCGAACAGTGCAAGGACAATGCACCCTGAGCTATAAATGTACTAGATTTGAAGTTTTCGTGACTGCAAGGATCCATACTCTTTGATTCTTTCGGTAAAGTCACGTAGGTAGAAAAATAAATACAAATTAAAATGAAATAAAACAAAAATTGAAAACAACTAAATTAAATCACCGATTTAATTATTTCTTACCTACGTGACTGTACCGAAAGAACCAAAGAGTATAAATGTACTTGTTCGCCTGTTGCCATTCTCTCGTCGGACACTGGTGACACTGGGCCATAAGAAGGCTCTCTCTGATGTTGGCCAATCGGTTTCAATTCTCGTTATTCCCCGCCGGCCTCCTGTTGAGCACACCCACCCAAATCGCCTCCCGTTCGGTCCCAGCGCGACGCTAATCGTGTGCCGCTGAAACTTTCTCCGCAGACAACGGACGAGGAGATGAAGAAGGCGTCGGCAACGACCCAGACAGAGGTACGTGGGAGACGTGGCAGACCTCGCCGTGACGGCCTGGCAGCGGTGACTGCCGTTGACGTAGGTGGATCAACGCTGACGGCGCGCCGTGTGCTTACGCAGATGCTCCTCTTGTGAGCGCTGGGCGAGTGGTGTCATGTGTCGGGTGTGCCTACTTGCTGGCCCGCCCGACGGCGCGCGTGCGCGCTTGTTTGGCAAGCTTGATTCGGGATCAGCTTGCGCTAGACGCACAGGTAAAACTGTTACGGGATTCTTCATGTGAATCGGGGATTGTTCTTAAATCCGCATCATGTCCCCTCGTCCCTGAGAGTCGCTAGATTGTTGTCAATAGTCGCTCAGACAAAAAATGTTGTCCCTGGGAAATCCAAAAAGGGTCGCCAAGTTGGCAGCACTGGCCAAGCGATAGCCGGGTGAAACCATCGCTTTCGACCCGCCGATTAACCGTCACGGCACGACCCCCTCTAACGTCAGCCGCTAATACCGGAACCCCGAGGCCCAAGCGCTGCGGCTGTGGGGGACCTACACGGGGCGTAGGTGCACGTATGTTGAACCTCTTTCGCACCGCACGTAGCCAACCCTGCTCATCGGAGGTGCGTGTGGCCGAATGCGGATTAACGGCGCTGGGTGGGTGGGGGGGGGTAACCTTTGTGTGTGTGTACGTTGTGTTTTTCATAATAAAGGTTTGTGGGTTAGATCAGTAAAAAAAATGTGTCACGTTAACCAAATGCAAATCAGTGACTTCTTTAGCCCACCGGTGTGTTTGAAGGGTGAATCCACAACATTTAGAATTTGAGTAGTACGACGTTTTGCTGGTAATTACATCCAGCATCTTCGGGCGATTTGCCTGAAGAGTGAAGCCATCCACCTGCTTGGGGTGTCAAATAGTGCAGGACGAAGTCATCACTGAACCCCATCAGGTTTCTAGATCAGAGGCGGATGTTGGAGGGGGGGTATTGTAATTATATAATAGATTAGTGAAAAGTTCATTAGTAATTACAATTCCTTTATAGAGGAATCAATGTATTGTGTATTACTTAATACGCTTCCAGGCTGTGCTAAGTCTGTAGCTATCAGAGCGGTTAAAGTTACTGGTATTTCTCTCAATTTCGATGGATTCTCTAATTAGTCTTGGCCAGTAATAATTAGTTTTGCATAATACTTCAACGTTAAAAAAATAAATTGAGTGTCCTTGTTGGCAAGCATGTTCTGCCACTGCCGACAGTTGTGTTTGAGAGAATTTCATGTTCTTTTGGTGTTCTTTTAGTCTTACGCTAATGTTACGTCCAGTCTGTCCAATATAACACTTACCGCACAAGCAATTTATCTGATATACACCTGCTGTTGATAACTTGGGTAATTCATCTTTAATACAAGACACTAGTTTTTGAATTGTGTGTACCGTACCAAATCTTACTTTAATGTTTTGCTTTTGCAAAACGCGGGCTAACTTGTCAGTTACTCCTGAGATATATGGTATTTTAATGGTTTTGACAATCTGATCACTTTCAGCAGTTTTGTTGTTCGGTCTTGGTTTGGCATTCAATGCTCTGTTAATTTGAGCATTATTGTAGCCATTCAGTCGTAGTGCTTCTTTAACATGTTTAATCTCTCTCTCCTTAGACTTTCACCATCTGACACTGTTTTTGCCCGACGCATCTTGACGAGAGAGGATTTCTGCGCTGGGTGATGATGCGAATCTGTGTTTGTCCGTTGGTTGGCCGTGTGCCCCGCAAGTGGGCACCGGACCCGAGCAGGGAGGGCTGGACTCTGAGCTGCTGAGAGCCCAGCTGGAGGAGATGATGGCCTTCTCCCCGACGGCCGCCCCCGAGCGCAGCTACGGCGTTCGCAGAGCAGGGCCGTCCTCGTGAGTCGCGTCCCCACGCTGCCCCCTCCTCGCTTCCTCGCACTCCCCGCGGCCCGTGCTGCTGCCGCCGCTGAAATGAACGTTGGCGCAACGTGCGGGGGTACGAGCGTTGCTGCTGGGGCGGAGAGAATGTGAAGGGGGTGGGGGGGCACGTGTGGGGGCGAGAGTGAGATGAGACGGGGAGAGATAGGAGAACGCTTCATAGTTGATTTTCTTTGGATTAGGTCGTGTAGGTTATAATGTCGGTTTTTTTTTAATGATAACCCTTCACCACCCAACACAGCCAAACTGTGTGCCATGGGCAAATGTGCCAAATTTATTCTGCTTTGAAGAAAACCGGTTACGTTGGAAGAGCAAGAAAAAGTCTTGTTAATTTCGTACAACAACATCTCGCTGGAGAGTTTATCCAGCATCGTCAGGCATTGACAAAAGCTCAGCTCTTGCGTGAAAGAGCTTCCTGATCCAATTTTAAAACAAAACGTAGAGACATTATACCCACGCAACGATCTAAAAAGTAAACCAATGCACCGAATCGTGATATTCGCCGTGAAAGCCTAAGTTAGGGGAGCACGTTTAGAGGAATAGTTTTAGACGAGAGGGGAGTAGGAGGTAGACAGGGGGGCGAGTTCACGGAGAATCTTAAACATTGCAAAGGGTCATCTTGGAGTTGACGATGCGAGACTGGATTGGGCGGGGGGGGGGGGGCGCTGGAGGGAATGCTACGCGTCGCGGGGTGACGTGGGCACGTTTCAACGATGCGGGCGTGAAATCTGACAACGGGATTCGAATCCGGGCTCCTGCATGTCAAACCATGATTGGGATTCCGGAAGGGGAACGTCTAGCTGCTTTGTATTACCTTACGGCGTTGTCACTTAAGGCTTTTAATCTGAAATGGAAGTAATAATAATGCCCCTTTTTTAACCAGGAGAGCCTCAAGCCTGCTTTTCAGAAGGGTCCTGCATTATTGGGATGTTTGGCCAATTACATCAGTGGGTGTTTTTTGCTTGTGGAAGAAAACCGGCAGTACCCGGAGAAAACTCACCCACGCAAGAGGGGGGTGGGGGGTAACGCTCAAAGATCCACACGGCATGCAGAATCTGTCGCTGTGTACTACTACCTCCTGATCACCCTCTCAACCCACACCTACAACACCTGGCATTCCCCAGACAGTCTCCCATCCAACTACTCGGCAGGCTCCAACTTGCTTCACGTGCGAGATCTGACGAGGTCAGGTGCAGCGTGCGTGCGTGCGTGCGCGTGTCATTCTGTTACACCTCTTGACGCACAGCCCGCAATGCCCTGGGTCGTCTCGTTGTCATCGTGTTGTCCCAGGTTCCCGGTTGGGGCCGAGTTTGGGTTCCAGGGAGAGGCTGCCCGCGCTGATCCCCCCAAGCGGAAGATGGTGGAGGACGAGGCCTGCCAGGGTGAGGCGCGAGCTTGGCCCACAGCCCAGAGTCCGCGTCTGCGCTAGCGTCTTAACCTGTTCTGTACCTCCACCCTCGCTGAGGAGCCCAGAGCCCAGTTGTTCATACGGTGGTCACCGGCACGCTCTGACTGATCACCATTGAGCTCCATCCTGTGCCCAGGGGACTTCAGAAAGCAAATAAATATATTTAGAAATATGTTTCACAGTTTTATTTTGTTTTAGCGCTTGCCAACTCACGTTGGATGTGTTGACACGTTAGCTCTGCCCCGTCGGAACCTCACGTCCTGAACAGCAGGGGGAGGGCACAATAACGCTCGTGAAGGTGACACAATGCGGGACAAACTTTAGGATAAAGTTGTACTGTCGTTCGGGACTTACCCGAAGAAAATTAACCATTTTGATCAAACCCCATTGATGTGCCATGAAGAATTAGCCATTGCCCGAAATGTTACCCATTATATACATATTAAGTTTTGTTTTAAAGCCACAAAGTATTATTTGCAAATGTGTTGAGTTTATGTTTGCTAATTGTGCTTGTGCAAAGTTTGTTTAACGCTGATCAAAGGGTTACTGCCCAAAATTTGGAGATACAAAAGGAGAGTAAAAAAAATTGCTGCCCGCCGGCATCCGTACCGCTTATCAAATGCTTCCACAAAGGCACAAACGCGTGCGAGAGAGCGTTACGTAGTCCATGCCTGTGCATGATTTATTTACTGACTTGTTTACCTTAAACTTGTATTGGGGTTTAAAAGCCTCCGAGTGAACGCGATGCACACGAACCTCGTCAGATCTCATCGGATGTCAGAAGCTGAGGCAGGATAGTGCCCCGGATAGAGTGCGCGGTGTAACAAGCTCCGTGGCTATGTTGCGGAAAACGAAGGGGGCCGTGGCGAATTCCATTGTTGTACTGCACTTCTGTGCTCCCACGTCTATGCTCTCCGCCTTCGCTAAACGACGCTGCCCAGGTTGATGACGGAAATGCGCTTAAATAATCCACACTGGCAGTGGACCAACAAAACAGGCAGTGTCTGGAGCTTGTAAAGGGTGTGTTTAAGCGTTTTTGCCAATGTGGAATCTCGCAGCGGTAGCGCGTTCGCCGCTCGTTGCAGAGGTTCACGGTTCGAACCAGCGGTCCCTCCCGTGTGCAATAACCACCTTAATAATAATAATAGCATGCGCCGTCTGCTTCACAGTGGACGTTAAAGATCCCCTGACGTCGCTCGCAAGAGTAGGCCGTTCTGTGCCTGGCGTCGGGGTCCGAATTTGCCAAGTTGTAAAATTACCAGCAAATGACTCGTTGGAATTACACATGGCAGCAAACACTGCCCCCACCCCCCTAGTGGCAGACAACTGGCCGTTTGTAGGCCAGGTGCTGAGTCATCTTGTGCCACACAGGGATAGCTGCCGGCGGGGGGCGGGGGTACCCTTTAAAGATACAGTAAAACCTTGGATTGCGAGTAACTTGGTCTGCGAGTGTTTTGCAAGACGAACACATTTTTTAATACATTTTTATTTGATAAACGAGCGAGGTCTTGCAATACGAGCAGTACGTATACGCATGGTCTGCCGAGCGTCACGTGATCACAACTGATATACGAGTGCTTTGATATTACGAGTGCTTTGGATTACAAACATGTTTCCGGAAAGAATTATGCTCGCAATCCCAGGTTTTACTGTACGTTGCAATTCGATGTGTTGTCAAGTTGCTCTTGGACGCTCCGGTATGTCAGTGGACGCTCTGTAATCCTTGCCGTTCATGACTTCGCATTTTTGTTTTGCTTCAGGCTGAATTACGTTCTCCGGCACCCAAGAGGCAACAACCTCCTCGCTCAAGCAAGAAAGCCTTCACTCGAATCATCATCATCATCATCAGCAGCCCCTGTATATTAATGATTTGCTAAGAATGTCGCCGTGTGTTGTGGATTGTACTGAGCGATGATTGTGAATGTCCACATGCCTGCAACCTGCATGAGGCGCTGTGTAAAAACGCTTTCCTTATAGAGTGTGTGACTCGTGGCCGTGTGTGGCCCATCCATCTGCGTGGTGCTCCAAGTGAATCGTAGGGCCTCTCTGCGACCCCTGGCTCGAATGGGGTTCCCTGTGTACCGCACGGTGGCGCAGGGTGGTGTACGCGCTTGGGTTGGTACCTGGGAGCTCGCTTCTCTCTGTGCAGCGATGAATCGCGCATCGGGCCACAGATGGAGAGGAGCGTTGCGTCACACGGGACCGGTCCTCGCCACTGTTGTAAGCCACCAGCGCTCACTGCTGTCTTCATGGACCCACGGTGGAGAGAGGGGGGAACCTCTCGTTCGGTTCCTAAGGAGGCTGCGTGTCACTCCCGTGGCCCCTCCCGTCCTCCTTCAGCACCAGGCACGACAAGAGACGCACCGAGCACCCCCTTGTGTTGTGCGTTCAAGGTTTCACTGCAGGGGAAACGGCAACGCAAGCTCCGCCTCGCGAAGCTCTCGGCTGCGTGAGCGAGCGTGCGAGCGTGCGAGCGTGCGTATGCATTGGGAGGTCGCTGCGTCTCACACTTGACCAACGTGCCTCTCCGTTGCCAGGGTTGAGTGAAGATGGGCATGGTTGCGCGCTCCGTGAGGTCGGGAATGGTTTCACATGCAAGCGACGGAGCATTATGGACCTGTGCCCCAGGGATGTAACAATTCCCCCCCCCCCACCCACGAATTGATTAGCTATGCACGCATTCAGTTCTGTGCGTGTATTGTGAGCATTCAAACCCACGTTAATGTATGTCTCCTTGTACCACCAACTGCTTATTGGAGATGGGATATCCATTCCAGTATCGCTTTATTATCGGTTTGATTATGCGACTAATCGGATAACAGGGAAATAGTTTTGAAAAAAAAAGTCGTTGACTTCTGTTCCCACGTGTGCCGCTGGACGGGAAGCGTTTGTCGCGGCAATGGTGACGTCGTCGGCATCAGGCAGGGGCATGCCTCCTGGGGGGCGGGAGGAGGGGGGGGTTTCCCGCCTTCGCGGGACAATATATCAGAGCAGCCGCTGTGATACCTTGTCTCGTTCAAGGGGCCTGAGTAATGACGAATAAAAGTAGTCTGTTACTATCCTTCGTCGCTGAATCGGCTCTACGAAACTCATGGACCCGGCCCTCCTGCTTGCCGACACCGCCTGCAGCAGGGCTGGGCGGTGAGAAGCCCCTCTTTACTGCGCCAGGTGAGCCGCGTTGCCAAAAAAAACTCATGGCTACAGAAAAGTTCATGTTCCACAAAAAAAAATCAACCATCGTGATTGTCCCGGGAGTTGGGTTGCTTCCTCAATGTAGCGGCCCGGTCGTGTGCGTGCGTGCGTTTTTTTTCTTTCGAGTTGTCACTGTCGTGCATGCGGAGTGCCTGGTTAATCGTGTCCGTTCGTCTGTAGTACCCGTCGGGGTCTGTGCTCCTTGTAGAAGGGATCGTGCCTAGGGTGCGCTGCTGCTGCTGCTGCGAATAACCGACGGAAGCCACGAAACGTTTCTAAAGCAAGTCGTCCGTTGTGCGCACGAGGCAAGCAAGCGATACGCGGCTTCAATGCCGTGGCGTTTCACGGACGGTGCAGGAAGGTGCAGAGAGCGATAGGCGCTAGGGGTGGGTGGCACGTGTGGTCATTGGGAGCCGTGGTTGGTGGGGGGAGGGCACTCAAGTTTATCGGGACTAATCCTCTATTTTGTGGCGTCATAATCCGTGGCTTTAACCGCGGCTAGGGAGCAGCGGGGGTCCATGGACTTCTATGAATCATACTGTCCATGGCAAACGCACGTGCCGATCGGTAGTTCGGACGGTAGACCAGGCGGCGGAACAGCTGGTGGACTAGTTGGCAGATCAGCTGGTGGACTAGGTGGTAAATGAGATGGCAGATCATATGGTGGACTGACTGGTAAACCAAGTTGTAGATGAGGTGGTGGTCTAGGTGGTAGAGCAAGTGATAGATCAGCTGGTGGATTAGGTGGTAGGTCAGGTGATAGAATCGGCAGGGGAACAGGAGGTTCCACTGCCCTTGGTGTGAACCGGCTTTCTTTGCCGGCCAAGGTAAACACCGCTGAGAAAGAGCGGATACAACTTGAAGAGGTCACTAATTGCAATGAGAATGAGTGGAGCATGCTGGCTGGCCGGCCAAGCCAACCCCCATAGACCTAACACGAACGAGGAAACCAAATGCTCGCCCGAGTCTTCTTCAGCGAACCCAGCAGCCACAAGGATTAGGCCTCTCAACTGAACCAGCCGGAGAAATAGCCCCAAACCTGTCAAACCAGCTACTACTCACTAACCTTAACCTACTTTTGTCTAAATTGGCTCAAGCCTCCGGTAAACCACGTGACTAGGTGATAGTGCCAGCCCTATCACTGAAGCTACCCATAACTCCACTGCCGCCACAAAGTCTACCACCCATGTGGTGCTTACTGCTGTGGCTCCTGTACTGTCCACACAGCCATGCCCCGCACGGGTCTGCACGTGTCAAGTCCTCGCTCTGTGAACGTGCCAATCTACGAGTGAGTGATGCTCTCCCCCACACGGTCTTGATCATGGGAGTCTGACTATACATCACCACGCTTGTCAGTGCGGGAGGTGAGGGGGGGTGGGTGGACCCAGGACTTCTTCAGATATCGCTCGTCACCAATGTTAGCCGTGACCTGGGATCGGACTCGTAGCATCTCGGATGTGAGAGGGCCGTCTCGACACACACCGCTAAGGAGAGAAATTGTGGGTGAGCAGCCAAAGGTACATTTGGTGGTGCAGGGCCCATCCCAGCACCTCCCTGTCGCCGGCTGTCGAGCACAATCCGCTCACCACTTTGCCACCGCTACACCTTCACTGTGGTCGTGAGTCGCGACTGTGCGTGGTCTCTGCTGCGTGGCGAGTCCCAACAGTAGCAGCAAGCGGCCTCGCGTTGTGAGCCACGTCTTGAAGGCGGCCTTGGTGTCTCGCTGTGTCATCACCACTGCTGTTGACGAGACGTTTGATGGAATGTGCAGTAACTAAGTGTAGTCGGTTTGTAAAGCCGATCCCTTAACTATAGATTATATGATTTGGTTTTATATTGCGTCAAAGATACGGAGGCGTCTAGACGTGTAATATATTGCAACCTGTAAATGCGCAACGTTGTCGAACCACTGGGGGCTTCGCCGTGAGGCCTGGCCTGGGAGTTCAACTCATCTCCCATGGCATTGCAGGCTCCGCAAGCAGCGCGCACTCTCATACGCACCTTTGCTGCAGCCGACCTGCCTGCAGACGTCGGCACGTTACAGGGAGTAATACTCTGCTGAAGATTGAGTGCACTGAATAGGATATAATGTGGGACATGAGAGTCGACATAGGAGGAGCTGCGTGATGATATGGGGATGGAGGGTATGCAAGGAGATGCGGGGAGATATTGAAGCGAGGCGCTGTGAGAGTTGGTGTGAAGACTGTATTTGAGAGACGGTACAGGAGTTGGTGTAGGGCAGTGTGATAAGGAGGCGGTGTGCTATAGAATAGTTATGGCTGAAGGTAAGGAGTTGTGGGCGTCTGGGGCATGGGACAAGAAGGGGGGGGCGGGGGGGGGTGATGTTTAGGATATGCGGGGAGACCCCCGCACGAGGAGTGGGCGTGTGGTGACCGCGCTTCACCACCGTCGCGTTTCGCTGGCTCCGACGTTTAATTGTTAAATTCATTGACGAGTGTAAAAGAATGGTTCCTCGTCCTCCCGACCCCTGGAGGTTGGCGTGTATGAAAGAAGAGTCGCGTAGGAGTCTGTACACGACTCGAGTCGTCCGTGTCTTCGTGGGTTAGGCAGAGAGGAGCGGGCTGTCCTCAGCTTTCACCTGCCGAGTTGTAACGTGCATCGACAGGCCTTGCTCACGCTCTGCTGTAAGTTCGCCTCCACGTGTGTCAGTTCCCACCTGCCTTGCGCTTTTGGAGTGAATGCGTCGATTAAAACTGCCGACATTTTGCGATGTCACGATGCCTCCTGCTTTATTCTCTCCGTTGGCGGGGGCGCTTCCCTCCCCTCACTGCGGTCGCACTTCCACGCGTGTCCCCGCGATCTTTGCCTGCGTGGCTTCCTCACCCAGACGCGTTAAGCTTGTCGTGAGAGTTGTGCTTTAATGTGCATCTTCGTTTCTGTGGGAATGCCTGCGATCAATGGGGATCACGGTTACGCACGAGGTGTTTAGCAAAAGCGGGCCGTCATGAGCCGAGGTGGTGGCGAGCCCGGGAGAGATTTATCGGAACATAAAACAAAAAGGTGTAATCTTACCACATCGGAGAGTCAACACTTCTGCAGGAACGCACGTGCGTGAGATCAGCACCAAAGAGTGCTTTTGTCAGTGGGACTCAGCACCACGGACAGCGCCTCTCAATCTTGAATCAGGACCACGGACAGCGCTTCTCAATGTGGACTCAGCACCACGGACAGCGCCTCTCAATATGGAATCAGGACCACGGACAGCGCTTCTCAATGTGGAATCAGAACCACGGACAGCGCCTCTCAAATGTGGAATCGGCACCACGGACAGCGCCTCAATGTGGACTCAGCACCACGGACAGCGCCTCCCAATGTGGAATCAGAACCACGGACAGCGCCTCTCAATGTGGACTCAGCACCACGGACAGCGCCTATCAATGTGGCTTCCTTACGTCGCGAATTTCCTCGAGAGAGCCCATCTCGACGTGATGACACGTATCGGTTGTGGCAATAACCGGCTGGCTATAGAACCTGACGCGTGTGAATGCACGTTCTGGCTCCCGTGGGCTGTTACAATGTCACGATTCGCTTATAGAAGAGCAAAACTCACGAATGGAATTAGCCAAACATCGCAATGCAGGGTCCTCCTGAATAAAAGAGTTGAGATTCAGTGAGGTTTTCCCGGGTGATTACACGGCTCTGTCATCATTGTCCGACAGCGGCCAGTGCCCCGTTTTGACGAGTGGATCTGCCCCTGTAATCGATGGCCGTGACAAGGGCTTCATTTCTCACTCGACATTTTCCGGAAGACTGGCTGGCTTGGATTATGGACGTACGGCACTGCCACGAGAGGACAAGGTGCGCCTATCTATAATAATTCTATAATAATTATAATAATTCCTATATTATCGCGCCCAGTATTCCTTGGATCCTATGGACAGATGTGTTAAGAAGGAAAAAAAAACCCGTGACTTCCAGCTGAAATTCAGCAGTGGTCGTAATCGACATTTAAACACCACAGGGACCCTCTCGCGTCCCCTGGCTTCCCATCGCCTCTCGTCACTGTCTCAAAGGGCCTGGGGCCTTCCCATGAGTGGATGAATGAGACGCTGGTTCGTGAGGATCGTGCGTCACGATCGCCGTTTACGGTAAAATCGTATACATGAGCAGACGTTTCGGACCATGGACCTTCGTCACGTATGAAGTTATTGTTTTATGCATGTGCTTTATCGACTTCATTTGAAGATTGAGCATTGTCTGAGACGACACCTATTTTCAGTGTTGTCACTTTTAAGCCATGCGGTGTTAATTACGAATCGTGTGCTGAGGTTTTGTCCGTTGATTGTGCTTGTTGCACCACTGCCAACGCAGCAGCAGCGTTGGCATCTGCGCTATTTACAGTCTCGCCGGGCCAATCGTCTGGCCTTCGACCTTCATGCACAGTCGTGTTTGTTGCATCCACTCCGACAAGGGCGTAACGAGTCGGGGTGTTGTGGCCACCGTGCAACCGCCCGATACACGGAGCAACGGTGGACGGAACCCGGCATCGATTGGCCCAGAGTGTGCCTGGTTCGGGTTAGAGTCTAGTCGGCCTTTTACCGGTTGATGAACCGAGTTGTGTTCGTGCTGGATATCTGTGGTATTGATTTACAACACCCGCGGTCCTCCGCGATGGCAACGACGACTGCTAACAACCCAAATCGTGAGTGCGACCTTGCTTCGAGAACGGTGCGGTGGGATGCATCCGAGAGGGTTCAGACGCTCGTCGTGCGAGACTGCTCTGTGTCCTGTGCTGTCAAGAGCAGGACGTGCGGTGAGGGGGTTTGGGGAAGCTGTGGTCCGCGCGCCCGCATCTTGGTCCGCGACTTGGTGTCATCCGCTCCCGACCACCACTGCCAAGTCGGAACAGCGCCGCGCGCGATATTTTTTCCCGTCACTGCAAGCAACGCGGGGTAGAGGGAGCTCGAGTCACGCAGATCCGCAGAGGAGAGAAGCGGGTGGAGGCGGAGAGAGGGAGGAGAAGAGGAGGAGGGAGTAACGGGGTACGGAGAGACGAGGGAAGGGAATGGACGGATGGAGGGAGGGGGGGTAGAGGGAGGCGGGGAGAGAGAGAGTGGGAAAAGGGAGGGGGAGAGGATAGAGAGGAGGGAGAGAGTGGGAAAGGGAGGGGGAGAGGAGAGAGAGAGGAGGGAGAGCGCATGAGAGAGGGAGGCTGGACGCCTCGGCTTCGCCACCGGGTGAGTTCGCTTCGCCCCGTGCGGCTCCCGAGAACGGGGCTCGCTCAAAGGGGACCCCGGCCTGGGGGACTCGGACCTGGGTGACCTGGAGCTGGGGACCCTGGGACCGGGTCCTGGGAGCGGGACCCGAGTCAATTGTAGCCGAGCAAGTTTCACGCGGAGACGCGGGCAGGGCGAGCGAGGGCTGTTACGTAACTCATTGTATAATGCAGCAGTCACTCGGCCACGGTGCGCGTAACCACAGGGTACGTGTACCACGGTTCGCCTACCACGGTGGGTGTAGCGGTGCGTGTGCCACGGTGGATATAGCCGTCACGCGTACCAACAGGGTACGTGCAGCACGGTTGTGCGTAACCACGGTACGTGTGCTACGGTGCGCGTACCACGGTGGGTGTGCCATGGCACGAGTACATGGCGTGTACCACGGTGGGTGTGCCATGGCACGTGTACATGGCGTGTACCACGGTGGGTAAAGGGTTACATGTACCACGTTACGTGTACCACACCTGCGCATGGGGTAGTGATGATATGATGATGATGATTATGATGGTATTGATGTTGGTGATGGAGCTGATGGTGATATAGGAGGTGATGACGGTGTTGCTGAGGATTATGGTGTTGGCGAGGGTGATGGTGATGATGGTGATTATGACGGTGTCGGTGATGATGATTATGTTGGTTATGGTGATGATGGTGATGATGTTGGTGATGATGTTGGTGATGGTGATGATGTTGGTGATGGTGATGATGGCGGTTGAGGCCACGGCTCCGCGCGAGTAGCGAGCGGGGGGAGGGGGCTCTGTGTGGGTTCTGTGGGGGCTCTGTGGGGGCTCTGTGTGGGAGTCTGCAGGGAGACGGAGACCGAGAGAGATGGGCAGAGAAGAGACAGGGATAGAGAGACGGGGGGGGGGCAGACAAGAGAGAGGGAGAGAGATGGGCAGAGAAGAGAGAGAGAGACGGGAGCAGATAAAAGAGAGGGTGAGAGAGGGACGGGGGGCAGAGAGAGAGAGAGACGGGAGGCAGAGAAGAGAGAGAGAGACGGGGGGCAGAGAAGAGAGAGAGACGGGGGGCAGAGAAGATCGAGGGTGAGAGGGAGAGAGACGGGCAGAGGAGAGAGATGGGCAGAGGAGAGAGAGGGTGAGAGAGACGGGAGGGGGGAGAGCGCATGGACGAGAGGGCGGGAAGTCGAGTGGGGGGGGGTAGAATGCAACAGACAGTGAGACGGGAGAGAGGGGGAGGGTATAATGAGGGGGAGAGAGAGAGGGGGGGGGGGGTATCAGACATAGAGATGGGAGCGAGGGTGGAGTCGTTTATGCGAGACTCATTCCTGGGCTTCTCGAGCTGTCAACCCTCGGGGGAGGAGTGGGCCAAGTCGCTCCTCTCTGCGCTCCGTGGCGCTCGCAAGTTTCCACGCCTCCTCCTCCCTCCCCTTCACCCTCCCCCCTCCGCCGCTTCCCCTCCTGCTCCCCTAACCTCCAACCCTCCTCCCCTCTGGCTCCCACCTCTCCTCTTATCGCCCACTCCCCTCCTCTCCCTCGCCTCCCCTACTCCTATCCTTCCCTCCAATCTCTTCCGCCCCCACCACCCCCTCCCTCCATCCTCCTCCCTCCCTCTCATATCCCTCACATCCTGCTCTCCCTCCCCTCCAGTCCCCCCTCCCCCCATTGGTCATTGGAGACGCGGGCGCGAGTCACGTGATCCCGGCTCCTCTCGTGCCGCTTCACGGGTCCCAGTGTAGGAGAGAGAATGATTACGATCATCCATCAGCAACATCATCATCATCAACACCATCATCATCTACATCATCCATCATCAACATCTACATCATCCATCATCATCTACATCATCCATCATCATCAACATCTACATCATCCATCATCATCAACATCTACATCATCCATCATCATCAGCATCTACATCATCCATCATCATCAACATCATCTACATCATCATCATTTTCATCATCCATCAGCAACATCATCTACATCAGCAACATCATCTACATCATCTACATCATCCATCATCATCTACATCATCTACATCATCTACATCATCTACATCATCAACATCCTCATCATCGTCTACATCATCCATCAGCAACATCATCATCATCTACATCATCCATCAGCAACATCATCATCATCTACATCATCAACATCATCTACATCATCCATCATCATTTACATCATCAACATCATCTACATCATCCATCATCATCTACATCATCCATCATCATCAGCAACATCATCTACATCATCGTCGTTTCCATCAGCAACATAATTACCATCGTCTCCATCATCATCAGCAACATCATCAACATCATCAACATCATCTATCAGCAACATCATCTACATCATTGTGGTCTCCATCAGCAACATCATCACCATCGTCTCCATCATCAACACCATCATCATCATCTACATCATCAGCAACACCATTAACATCGTCTACATCATTTTCATCAAGACCATCATCATCGTCTCCATCAGCAATACCATCATCATCGTCTACATCATTTTCATCAACACCATCATCATC